GGGGCGCGGGATCGGGGCGCGCGGCGTTGGGCGGTGCCGCTCGGAGCGTTGCTCAGTGACCCGAGTCCCCGCGCTCGCGTGGAGGCGCTTCTGCCTTTGTGTGGCCGCCCCGTGCCCCCCGCGTGTGCCCGGCAGCGCGGCGCTGTGCTACGGGAGCGGGACAGGGAGAGGCAGCCGGGACACGACTTTTAAAATTGCTTCCCTACTCGAGGGACATAGTTACAACAGGTGGGGTCGGTCTTCACAGCAAGCCAACTTTTGGGATAATCTTTGCTATTTCCTGCCGAGATGTGCTTTCAAGTGCGGTTCCAGACTGAAAAATTACTCTAAAAAGGACATTGACAGAAGCCATAGGTTTCCGAAATGACTAGGTCAACTATGTCAGAATGGCACTAATCAATTTTTTAAAAAAGATGTACATTTGAGTTTGTTTTTATCATTCCAGGTTTGTTGATGGGGGGGGGGGGGGGGGTGAGAACAGGAGATACTGAAATTTTAAAAAGTTAAACCTGTTTTTCCATTTAAGTAAAAATTACAAATTTAGGTCAAAATATACAAAGTAAAGGACTCTTTTTGTTTCTTTGTAAATTTCAGCTATCATTGATTAAAAAAATTTCAGTTTGTGTGTCTGTTGAAGTGGAAAATTATCAACATTTATTGATAAATCTAATCTTTCCAAGCCTAAATACAGTCTGTTTTTAAATACACTAATGCAGTCTTACTGTCTTCCAGCCCAGCAAACTCAGCCTGAGAGCCAAAAGTCATGCTTTTGTTTTTCAGGCTCCTGTACCTGCAATAATAAAGATTCTGTGGGCTGGATTCTTTTTTCCAGTTATATCTTATTCTCTTCTTTAGTTTGCATAGGTGAAACTGAGGCAAGAATGACTATTCAGTTAGAACTTAATTAACATTTTTGCTCATATGGAAGGCAAGATAGTCTTTGTTTTCTGTTCTAATTGCTCTGCAGGACTAACAAGTGCAAATTAGTAAAGCCTTTCATCATTAAAGGGAAAATTGTTGCTACCATTACAGAGCACTGCGCCATAGGAGAATAAACAGCTACTTTTAGGGCTCTGGTTTTCGGGGGGGGGAGAGGGGTATATCCAAGATAATGAGAATCAGGCAACAGGTGCAAGGGACAGAGGAAAGAGTCTGCAGAACATGTGTGATGGGGAGAGAAAACTAGAATGTCTGGAAGGGAAGTGAGATGTACAGCAAAAGCAATGAGATGAATATCTTTCACTAAGGAAAAAATCTCTACTGCGTTTAATTGTTAAGAATGGAATACATAAATGGAAAAGTAGTAGCTGGAAAATAATATGATCAGTTTTAGTAGCCATGTGGAAATAGCGTGATCGTCAACAAGGATTGTGGTTGGAAAGGGAGATGGCCTGTGGTAGATTATCTATGGATAATCTAAATCTATGGATTATGGGGGGGGAAAAGTATGCTAATGCAGTGCAAAAGTTGCAAGGCACACAAGTTGGGAAATAACACCTGGCTCTTATGTCATTTGTATCCACAGATCTCTGTGGAGGATTAAAGTTGAATCTCATGCAGAATAATCTCCAGTACATGACAATACTACTTTTAAGTGTCTTGCTCGCATTAAAATAGTAATATTAAAGTTTAGTTTTTCTATAATGCTTTTCATCAGTAGATCTCAAAGGGCTTTATGAAGGAGATTAGTATAGTTATCCAATGAGGGCTAAGGGGCTAATGAATCTATGATCTTTGTGTATATGTGGGATTGATGGAGGATATGCCATTTCTGGCCTCCTGCGAACATTTTTCTGTTTCCAGATGCAGGAGAAGGAGCCACCTTTTAAAGTAATCTTTGCTTTCTGGATGGACCTATGTTGTGAATTTAGATTAGGGAAGAAGTTGCGGTTTCTCATAATTGACAGTCTCTCACACAAGTACAGCATATCATTCCACTTCCTCGTGTGTCAGTAGTAACTGCAAATACTACATTTTGCTTTAATGGGTTTTTTGGTTCAAAAATTTTCCTTCTGGTATTTGTTTTTCATCTATCTTGGATGCTGTTCTGGGGGCTTACAAGTTATATAACTTGCATATATAATTACAGGCTGCTTGTGGCTGAAGACAAGGCCAGCATCCTACCACTAACTCTTATCTGTTGCAGCCACATAGTTTTGGGTCTAAAAGTCATATTTTCCTTGTAAAAAAGGAGACCAATGTAACACACACAATTATTTTCAGAGCATTTGAAATGGGTGCTACTAAGCTATGGTCCAGACTTTCTTGGTCTGGCTTCCAGGTAGAGATTATCTGCAGGGTTAGGGTCCTACTATTTCTAGGTATTTTAATGGCTCTGTTCTAGTTTACTTCCGGTTTCCTTCTGTAATAGGATGTATTTGTACCTACTGAAATGGGAAGTTTTGGTGCTATGGCTATCGCAGTGCTTAGTTTTGTAAGACATAGTTTTCATTTGGTAGTTTACTCAAGTTTTGCCAGAAGCTGAGAATGGGCAACAGAGGATGGATTGCTTGATGATTGATTCCCTGTTCAGTCTATTTCATCTGTGGCACCTGGCATTGGCCACTGTCAGAAGACAACATTTAGTCTGGTCCAATATGGCTATTCTCTTGTGAAGTGAGAGAGCTATTCTCCGTATTTGTTTTGTTGGGTTTTCTGGGCATTGTTTGGAATTGCTACACCTAATTTTGTAGTTTCCTTTTACACTATTGGGCAGATGTCCCCCAATTTTAGGTCTTTTTGATCTCATCTCATTTGTTGAAAGGCTGCTGTTGAGGTGATACATTTATGTGTATAATGGCCAGCATGTGCTCAAGAGGGATGAGTGCACCCCAAGTGCCTGCACATTGACTTTTTGGTGACTCAGCCCTCTGGCTAAGACACACACAGTCTAGTCTGTATGAGATAAAGCAAACCCCTTCCAGGATGCAAGTCCAACAGAGGCTTCTCTCAGCACCCTCTTTAAATCCTCTCTCTGTTTATCCCTGCTCTGTAATAGAGCCGTGCCTAAGGGGTCTTTCACTGGAGGTAGTGTTTCTACTCTCTTTAAGGCCTTTCTGGCTACAGCTCTCCAGCTGGTCTGCTACAGTTCAGATCCCCAATCTGGGTTGCCACAAAGTCTGAGCCTCTTCCCCCAGGGGCTAATGGGGATTTGGGGTACCCAAGCTTGCACTCTACTCTGTATCTCAGTCCAGCTATCTGCAATGTCCCTTTAAATAACTGCATTGCTGCCGTAATTCCCTGGGCCACTTCCCCATGGCTCCCGCACATTCTTCAGCCTTACCTCAGGGCCTTGGCCTGGTAGAGTCTCAGCAGCCAGCCTGGAGCCCCATCACCAGCTGCACCAATCTATTCCTGCAGCCTTTCTTATATTGACCTGCTGGCTCCTGATTGGCTGCTTTTCACACAGCTGCTCTAAGCAGCTCCTAGGACCTCTCTACTGCCCCTTTCTGGGATGGGCTGTGGCAGGACCTCAAGGCCTGGGCCTAGTCCACCTAATCACAGCATGCAAAACTGAAGTTTAACAGTTGAAGTAAAGTTTGTAGTGGTATGAAGGTGAATATAAAGTTTGTAAGAAATTCCAGAGAGCTCTGCTCAGTTTAGTTTAGATTATTATCTTGGTCTCATTTACTACTTTGTAAAAAGGAAAACACGCTTCTGTGAGGAATTGATCAGTTTCTTAAAAATGTCTATTGTTGTACAGAAGCCTGCTATTTATTTTGAATGCATGTAGGACAAGTCTGGTATTTTAGTAACCTTTACTGAAATACTAGATACTGCTTGAAGTTGTTTGCAAATTTTGATCCTATTTTGAGAGTCAGATTTAATACATTTGTAATTTTCTGATGTTTGATTGCAATTTCTTGTTTCTAAAGCACAGTTATAACTTAATCTATGTTTACTACAGTTTATAGCTTTACTTGTACTCGCCTTGTCAAAAAGGAGTTTGGTATGGAAGGGAGTACGTAGATTAGGATTTTGGAAATTCCTCCTTTTGGGATATTTCTGCTACAAAGGACTCCTGAAACCAATGGTATAATTGGATTTTTTTTGCAGCAAGCATACCAACATGCATTAAGCCCATACTGTGTTCACTAAAAATAAACATTTTGAAGCACAAATACAAATATTCTTTGGGACTACCGCTACAGGAGGGCCGTTTCAGAAATTTTTACTGGTGTACAAACATAACAATTTCCAGCAGGTAAGACAACATGATTTTGAGCACTATATTTAGGGGAGAAATTAATGTTTACTTATCTGTATTTGAATTTCATACAATATGTTAAAACAAGAACAAGATGTCTTCATTATTTAAAAGTACAACAAAAACTGATCCCCAGATGGTTACTGGGTTCATAATTCCATCTCCAGAAGTTCAAATGCCTGGGGGAAAAGTTTTGCTTTGAAGTTTTTTGTCAAGGTCCACAAGATTTTAAGTTTTATGGACAAGCTTGTGGGAAGTAAATGAAAAAGCCAGGGGCCCTCATGGAGAAAACCTTGTCACCAACTCCTTCCTAATGGAGCTTCAGCTTGAAAAATCTCTTCTGACCTTCATTGGGGTGGGGAGGTGCAGAAATAGGGAGATGGTTTCAGCTAGGTAGACTGAGATAGTTTAGGCTTTGTGTCCAACTACCATCTGAAAGTTGTCAGCACTAATGCTTATGTGACTCCCAGTTGAGCAGAACTTACAGATTCTAAGGCCAGAGGGGACCCATTGTTAGCAGTTTTGACCTGCTGCATAATACAGGTTAGGGCACTACCCCAAAATAATTCCTAGATCAGATCTTTAGAGAAACACCCAGCTTTGATTTAAAAATGTATCAGTGAAGAACACACCATGACCCTTCAGAAATTGTTTTAATGGTTAATTACTCTTATTAACAATTATACATTCTCTCTGATCTGAGTGTCCTGCTTCAGCTTCTAGCCACTGCATCATGTTGTTCCTTTCTCCACTAGGTTGAAGAGCCCATTATTAAATATCTCTCTGTGTAGCTACATAGGTTATAGGCATTACTTAACCCTGTTTGTCAAACTAAATAGGTTGAAGTGTCTTGAGTCTCTCACCATAAAGTAATTTTTCTAGTCCTGCAATAACACTCTTGGCTCTTCTCTGACTCCTCTCCAATTTATCAACTTCCTTCTTGAATGATGGACACCTGTACTGGAGACAATAGTCTTAGTGACTGCACTGGTGCCAAACAGAGGTAAAATAACCTCTCTGATCTTATTTCCAGTTCTCCTGTTGATGCAGAAAGTGAGAGATACTTATGAAGCTGGCTGTTGCACTCTAAAGTAGAGATGTAAAATCTCATTTGTTTAGTTAACTAATTAAACATTAAGTTTAACCAGGTAACTTTAAATGGGGGTGGACTGGAGCTTCCCCTGTGCTGTGGGTGTGGGCATGGGCTGGGAGTCAGCAGACTCTCACAGGGCCAGAAGCGGCAGGTGAGCTCTAAGGATGATGCTTTCTGGGTAACAGACGGTCTCACATCCCTATTCAAAACCAGTTTGTTTCTTGCTAAGGCCGAGCCCCTGGCTTGCCTGGATCTAGCTCCTGCGGCTCAGGACACCCCGCTTCCGCCACGCAGGTGCTCCAGACACCGCTCCCCCTGCCATCCCACCATGGGGGCTGGAGCACACAATCTACTAACCTGCCCCCTCTCCTTCCCAGCTCCGGTGTGAAAGGAATATGGGAAGTAGAAGTCTTTCTCCTTCTTAGTCAGAGGCCACATCAGTGTGGGTTTGGTTTTTCTTTTTTGATTCTCCTGACTGATTTTTCTGTAGGTCAGCAACACCCAAAAAGGTTCCTTACCTCTTACGTAAACAACATTGTAATGGTTTGCCTTATGGTGCTAAGCAAATCTGGGCTGTTCTGTGGTGGCAGGCTTTTGTTGAGTTCTGCAGGACAAGGCCAGACTTCACTGTTTCTGCTTTGGAGTTTCAGAGACTTCTAATGGATGTACCTTGTCTGTGCAAGGGAAGTGAGAATGATAAAAGAGCAGTTAGGACCATGCACGTCATGAAGATAGCAAAGTTCTCAAGGGATGAGCATTGGTGGAAGCAGTGTGTGTAAGCATAAGAGCCCAGACAAGATGTCTGCCTAGCAGAGGACTTTAGCTTTTCTGGGAAGTCATGGTCTGCTGAAAGGTTTCTCCCTAGTTGGTTCCAGTCCCCTTTTCCATCTAGTGTGTTTTGTCTTTCTGTTTCTCCTGTTGGGAAGACTAAGAACTTGAGACCTTGAGGTCTAGAGTCAAGTTATGGGAAGCTTTCACCAAAGGGTTCTTGTCTACTGGAGATTAATAACTTTCCCTGGTTTCCCACCACTCCAGGTTGAGTCTAACTGTAGCAGGACAGATCTCAACTGGGATCTCCTGTGCACTTGGCATTTTTACACATTTTCCAGTTTTGGGAAAAGGACATGTCTCCGCAGAAGAATGGGAGTCAAGAGGATTCAGGAGAGTGAGAGTGAGGCTGATTCTAAGACTGTCTAGTTTTGCACTCTCTTCTTCCCCCATCTTCCACTAATGCTAGAGAGGGGAGAGACTTTATCTATTCATGTCACTATGTACATTTGTTAGGTTTCTAATCTTCTCAAATAGCTTACGTTTAACATTATTTGACTTCCCTTAGCCTGAGAATGGATCATACTCATCAGCGTGTGTTTGAGGCCCCCCCAACACACAAAAGGCTGATCAGTCCCAGGACTGGCTGGTGATCCAGTTTTTTACTTTAATTTTCAAAAGTGACTCTGATATTTTTCACAACTTCCTGTCACACTTTTTACTTAAGCATTGCTGTAGTGTCTTGGTTAAAGTTATCACATTGCTTAGGTTGAAGCTGTACTGTTGTTGCCCCTCAGCACAGGTTGTGCAGGGAGCAGTAAAATCAGCCCAATTAGCATATTTATTATGGTATCACTAATTCACAGAAGAAAACCCAGGAAGGAGCTAATGAAGGCAAAGGGTGTGTCCAAAAAGCAATCTTGACAGAACAACAAGACAGATGAAAAAAATATTCAGGCTGTCCTATGAAGTCTTTCATATTTAGGCTGTTACCTGCAGCTAAGGATCTCCCAAAGGAGTAAAACCATTTAATATAGGTGCTATAGTACTGGCCTGAAGAGCTGCTTTCCAGATATGCTAATGTTTCCTCATGGAGAGACAGCCTCTTTAAACAGTACAGTGGGGTAACATGATGCTGATTGTGAGTGTGCAGTTGGTGTAGGAAAGAACAAGTCATGTTCAGCACAGTATAAAGTCTAACCATGCCTTCCAGACACTCTGAGGCTTACTTGTGTTCATCTACACAGACTGCAGAGGTGTCAGCATCATGTTCGCCTGTTGATTCACGAGCAATAGTTTTGTTTACATAAAAGCAGTTTATTTTTAAAGCTAGAGTGTGATGGAGGTTGGGAGAGAAAGGAGGGGAAAGAACAAGAGGGAGACACCCTTAACCTGGCTCCTGATGTTGACCTCCTATGCTGGTCCACTCCCTGGCCTGCTTTGTGAGTCCAGGTGCGAATGTTGCCTACCAAAATAACTGTGATGGTAGCAGTATACCTCTCTTCCACATGGGAAAGAGAATAAACTATATTGATTCTAAGCACCTTTATGTTGGTGTAACTTGTCCAGCCAAGGAGTTGTACCAATATACTTACTTAGATTTAAAAAGCTAACTGAAATACTTAAATGATTACAGAGCTTGTGTGTAGACCAGGCCTCAGAATGCAAGTAATTGCTAGGTAGGAATGTTAAATATCAGTTAATTGAATAGTCGATTAACCGCATGAATTCTTATCGGTTACTTGATTATTCTGGGGGTGGGGCCAGCAGCCAGTGTGTTTCAGCCTTCCTCCCAAGGAACTCCCTGCCACTCCATGCTGCTTGCCTCTTATAGAGGCACCCACGTGGGGTGGCAGCAGCCCATGTCTGTGGGGGGAGGAAGTCTGAGCTCCCAAACCTGGTGTTAGCTGGAACTGAGCCTGGCTGCCTGCCCACCTAGCTCCTAATACACTTTAAATGCAGAGCCATAGCAGGGGTAGGTCCCAGACCCAGCGTAAGCCAGGCACTGAGCTGGGCTGCTGGTCAGCTTGCTAAAAAATGTACTGTTGGAGAATGCATGTAGTCTACAGCATAAACCGATAAGCTTTTGCTTTCTAGCATAGCATGGAAGCGGCAATTCTTGTACCATCCACGTCACACAAATTGTTGGAATTCATTAAATAATATTTGAAAAAATTTGAATTAAATGTCTCGAGTGAAACAGTAAATTGAGATTTAAAGTAGCAAATTTAGCCAGTCTTCATACAAAAAGGTTAATCTTCTTTGTTTTTATTAAAGAGCAGTGTTTTTAACAAATGTTTTTAGGGCAGTATGGTTAATTATCCAAATCATAGTGGTAAAAAATAATTTATGGAAAATACTAGGTAACAGTCTCTAACTGGAAAAATCCACCTTGATGTAACATTAAAATAAACACATTTTACCTTTTGTTTTTTCTAGCAGTATTGAAATTGGTTTGATTCATTTATTTGAAAAAATAAGAACTGCAAAATGTTTTTATATTTCAAAAGATTTGAATTGCTGTTTGCATGCAGCAATTTGTATTTAAAAGGAATCCATTCAGTGTTCTGTCTTTGACATGCAAATACCATTGAAATTCAATTTGGAGAACTTTGATGAGATTGCTGTGCTTTTCTTTAATTCTGATAAGTTGCTTTATCATTACAAAAATAGTTGCTTCAGATGTAATGCATGTGTTGCAACTTCATATGTAGGGCCCTTTTTGTTTGCATAAGTATATACATGGAAAATTATTATATGCATAACCTCGGTGATTACAATTTGCTGATTCTTTTTTGTTGAGGATATTTATGCATTATAGTATGCTGAAATGGACATTTCATTTTTAGATTAAAAAATTAAGTGTCTATATTGTCTCTTTCTTCACATGCAGCAACTAAATACTCTAGTTTTTAATGTAAAATAATTGACAACTATAGAAAACAGTTTCAGATTTGTACAGTAGTAACAAATGTCTGAGACCAAAGCAATAAAGGCTAGTTATTTTTTTAAATTTTTCCAGTATTTTAAAAGTTTATTTGGCTTTGCATTCAGTTGAACCTGAACATGAAGTTCAGTATGACTTGCAATTTATGAAAAGAATTGGCATTATTAAAGCAACAGCAATACCAACAGAAAGCCAGACCATATTTAAGATTTAATAAGTGGTACAATTTGTATTCAAGGTTCCAATGTGTTCTGACAGTGGATGAGATGAGGGGACTCACCTCTTACCTTTTTTGGAGTGTTTATTTGCTGTGGGAGAATGAGTTTTGGTGCTGAGTGTCTTATTTTGTTGAACATTATTGAAAGAAGAACTGCTCCAGAAAATTAAAATGCTAAATTGTCTTTTTTTATGGACATTTGAATATGCAGTCGTAAGACCAGCCAGCAGAGGACATCTGTCCTTATGCTTAGGACCCAAAGTGTCAGTAAATCTCACATGTATATCTCACATATATACTAAAAAAGATATCTGTTAATGAGACACATAAGTATATACTGTTGTGCTTTCATAATATAACGGGTCAAAATGTGATCAGTGGTTTTTTCAAATTTTTAAATGTGATGTTAGTGCATGCAACAAACAGAAAAAATTCTGCATTTTAAGCCATTGTTTTTGTGATTCCAAAGATGTAATTGGGACAAACATTTGCTCTGTGTCCCCCACCAGGTCAAGGGCAACTTTCCAGAGGCCTTTCCATGAGTCTATTCTGACAGTCTGTGTTGGAGTAGAAATATGATCAGCTCCCTATTTTTTCTTCCTTATCAGCACCCTGAGCAGTTTGTGTTGGCTCTGAGAAAAGAGCATGTTTCTGCACCATGCACCATCCTCTCCAGTAGAGCAAACTCAAGTCCTCTGCCTGTTCCTTTGTCAGACAATCCTTTATGAGAAATAAGCCCAACCAGGCAACATTCCAGCAAAGCTCCTGTTGTAGATCAGAATCTAATATTGCTGCTATTCCCCCATCAATCAGAGTCCTGCCGGGATTTGGGGGAGAAGTTCCTGTCCCTTTCAGCTGAAACAGGATTACTTTTTGTATTTGCATTCTCTTGGTGGCTTTGGAGGCGTACGTAAGAATTTGTTTTCTTCAGTGTGCCCCCATCCTCCCCCAAATCTCTCAACTTTCTCCCTTCAAGGTCTCTTTAGGAAACTGAGCAATTTGACATTGTCAGCACTCAGAAAATGGGAGTCATTTCCCACTTCCCTTTTATTGGGGACTGGATGTTTTGTTCCAAGTGTCTTACTCCTGGGATTCAGTAGGGTGTGGTGGTGGAGTGAGTATGCATGTTGCCAGTTTGGATGGAGGTGGCTGAATTTGTTAGTACAGTACGGTAGGTTGTGCATGCAGTGTTTCAGCTTCACTTAGCAGCCGTAAATCTAGTTGAACTAACGTCCTGAAGGAAGCACACGGCATAATAGTTGTAAATCTAGAAATAGACACTTTATTCAGACTCGTAAAGTTATAATTTTATTCGCTACTACAAGAGCCTTGCTTTACATTTAGGAGTATTGCATATATTTGTCTTAGTAGCTCTTTTTAAGGCCTATTTAGGGCTAGAATTTTGAAGACATATTAAAGAAATGTCTGGATTTATTTATAGATCCCAGGAGCTTTTCACCTGTTATGCTGAGTAGGGATGTTAAATATCGGTTAATTGAATAGCCGATTAACCTCATAAATTCTTACTGGTTACTTGACTATTCTATAGTCCCCAGGGTGGGGCCGGCAGCCAGTGTGTTCTTGCCCCACTCCTGAGGATTCTTCTGCCGCTCCGTGCTGCTGCTCTGTATCAGTGGCAGCAGTGTGGGGTTGCCAGGTAGGAGCTGGTTTGGTAGGAGAGCCATTTTTAAAACCAGCTCCCCTTGTGGACCGGCTGCCTGTCAACCCACGCTCCTGGATCTAATGCGAGCCAGAACTGAGCTGGGTGGCCTGTCCACCTGGCTCCTAATACACTTCAAATGCAGAGCCGCAGCAAGTGTAGGTCCCGGACCTGGTGCAAGCTAGGACTAAAAAAAATTACTGGTGGTGTGGAAATGCCAGTCAGTAGTATTAACTGATAAGCTTTTGCTTATCAGTTAATCGACTACACTGTTACATCTTAGCATTAGGGATGTAATATGATTGCCCTTTTTTCCTTTCACATCCACAATACAGAAAAAAATTAGAAGTAATATTAATATGTACGTTGTTCTAAAATTCAAAAAAAATGCTTTGTCTAGTTTGGTTTGGAGAAAAAGTATATATAAAGACACTGGCAATATATTCTGCCATTGCGTTAGAGGTGTGATTGAGAGAAAATGCTTCAACTTTGTTTTTGTGGTGGGTCCAAGGTGACTGAAAGCTTATCTAGTAATGGGGAATCATTCAAGAAAAACATGAAAAATAAGAACATTGAAAGTTACATTATGCAGGACACACATAAATAAATTGGGACTATCGACCTTCATGCTTGAAGATACAAACTCCTCATAAAGAAAACTTCTAGTCACTGTCAGGCACAGAATAGACCTCTGGACTGGTGTGATCCCTGAGGACATTATTCATTATCGATTAATGGTTACTGATTGTTAGTGAATGGCTCATCTTCACAAATATGGTGCTGTTTGCCGTGGTGTTGTTTCTGTGCTGGTGTCAGGTTATTAGAGACACAAGACAGGTAATATCTTTTATTGGACTATTCTGTTGGGGTGAGACAAGTTTTCAAGCAGTTGGTTGCAGTGATATTAACTGCTTTCTTTAGCTTGTATTTCAGTGTGACACTGAGTATCTTTCCAAGACCTGAATAAGCTCTGTGCAATTTTGAAATGTTTTGCTAGCACACTGTTTTCCAAGGTGAGTTTGTATCAAAACTGCCTCACTGGAGTGTCTATTTTATCTCTTGGGGGAGAGAACTGCCTTTTCAGTCTGTCTTCTCCTGTTCGCCCTCTTTTCTAATAGTGAGATCACAAGGTCATTAATATCAACTTGTTTTGCTCATAGACTAGTTTTCCCTAAGCCATGTGAGTGTGGCTCATATTGTTACAGAATTATGCCCAGTGACCAGTACTAGTCAGCTGCTGAAGCAGGACTCTTGTGAAGAGGTGAAAATGCACTCAGGCGTGCATCACAGATGTCGTCTTCACCTGAATTGTCCTGATTGGGAAGGGTCTGAATACTCTTTTGAGCAGTGGTCATGGAGGCCAGTGTGCAGTGATAAAGGGATTTAAACAGTTTGGTTTCTTGCTTGAACCCATGTTATACTTCACCTTTGCCCACTTCCTCCATCTTCAGACTCAGGAGTGTGTTGGCAAATAAGGTGGATTTATCTAGTGCTATCACAGGCCTCCCTGGGCTATCTTGGCAGGTTCCTGGATGTTCGTATAAAATGACCATGACAAGCAATGAAGGTGCAATTTTCAAAAATATCTGGGTGTCAAGAGAACTTTGTTCCCCACTATGGTTTTGGGTGACTCCACATGACCACTTCTGCTGTGGCTCCTGAAGCCAAATACACAGGTGGAGTCTGTTCACCCGTACATTCTGCAGGTGAGGGTGGTGCTGCAGTTTGATTCTTGACACAGAGGGATTATTACATGGATATTTTCTCTTACCCCTATGTCACACAGGCCCTTCTTCCTGCTCTCACCACTGGCACACAGAGAGGTGCACAGGCAGATTCTCATTCTCTGCTTCTGTGTGGATGGAGAAGTTAAGGGTTCCATTTGTGAGTTTCCTTCGCTCACCTGAAGGAGGGGACTTTTTTTCTGCCTTTGGCCTGGCCTCAGTACCAGTAGGGAAAAGGCTACTTTTTGTGAAGGCGTTTTTTTGGGGGGAAAGCAAGGTTCCATGAAGTACTCAGTGCTGAAGTGGAAGCAGTACTAAAATCAAATAGGGGGCACTCCTGATTTGGCTCAGTAGGCACTATGGCTCCCCTTTTTTCCTCTCTCAAATCGGTAGCAAGAAAACAGACACCCTTCAGGTTCCTGGAATAATCTTTTTGTGGCAGAACCTTTCTTTCTTTGTGGAGACGTCCTGACTTGTGATAGCAGTTCAGTGGTGAACGTGCAGTGATTGAAATATTTGCCAGTTGAGCTTTTGCATAATATATATAGTAGCAAAAATGGTGTTCCACAGTGGTATTAGAGGCAGCAGTACTTGTCACCACTTAAGTACAGTAGGCCAAACTGTTGCATGTGGGCTGTTGCTTCTGTTCATATGCTGTATAAATTAAAAATGCTGGGCACATAACTTAAAACTGATAGAGGCAAATCGAGGTTGGATCATATAGATCAGAGTTTCTCAGCCAGTGGTTCGAGTACCCTTAGGGGTACTCGAGGGAAGTTGGAGAGGGGGGGAAGGGTACGTCAACACAACTGAAATTTGGAGAAAACTTAAATTTTTGTTAAGTTTTACAGAGCTTTATTATTTTTGTACTTTTTACACCCAAAAATTTAATCGCTGGCCCGGCTATGATTAAGTTGTTTAAACAAATGTGTTACAACAGTAGAAAAAATTTTTGTCTGAAAACTGTAGGTCCTGGGGGTGGGTAGGGGTGTGTGTGTGTGTGTGTATTTTTTAAAGGGGTACTTTATTTAAAAAAAGGTTGAGAAACACTGATGTAGATCATCAATGGGCAACCCAAGCTAGTGAGTAGGCCGCACGAGTGGCCTGCCTTCATCTCCGTGGGCTGCAAGATTGTCATATTCAAGATGGTCTCCCAGGACAGGGTAGTTTTGCTAACTCTGCTTGTGTACCTACAGTTTGCAGGGTATATTACCTATTTAACTGTAGCAGCACTTTGATTGGATGCAGTGGGAGGGCATGGCTCTCACGGTCAGTGTTACGTGCAATCAGCACACAACTCACTTCACCTGCTCTGGCTTTAGGTGCATGTCACTTTAGTAACACCAGCAGGAAAAAACTACACACGGACACGAGCAGAATTTGGCAACCCTGCGCGTGAGCAACAGTAAACAATGTCTCATGGCCACATGTAGAATCCTGATGGGTCGCATATGGCCCATTGGCCTCAGGTTGCTCATCACTGATGTAGATCTACAAACTAATCATTACTAGCTGTGTTTTTGTGAAGGCATTTCTTGTTACCTTGTAGCTGCTTTCTCTGTCATCTTAAATGTAAGTTTTATCAATTATCCAATTGACCTAATTTGTATGGTGTAGTGACTGCATATATTGATGGGGCAATAATTAGTAATTGTAGCTATGAAGTATCTGTGCTTTTGTGGTGAACTTCAGTTGTTTAAGTGCTAATTTTTCATGATTTATTAGCTTGTATTAATTATGTTGAAGACGTTTAAGGTCAGTGCAATAAATCACATCCCTATAAAGAGAACATAAATCATACTGCATTTTGTATAATAAACATGCAAGCCAGCTTCAGTATCCAGTTAGGATCGCAGATTTGGCCAAGGAGGCAGCGGAGGTTGTATAGTATGACATAATGCATGGATTAGAGATTGCAGTGTTCTTTGACCTTGATCTAGTGATGGGGTTGGAATATCTTTGGAATGGGCATGAGCTGCAGAGTGGGGGCAGTGCAAGATGTGGAGGTGGTCTGAGTTGGTATGCGTTAGTCAAGTGGAAGAACAGGTGCAGAGACAGGTGCGATCATACTTTCTTCAGCCTTTACATCATTAAATATTTCTCTCTGAAATCCAGTGTTAAAGGCTGGTTTCCCTCTTCTGTATGAAGTAGTCCAGCACATGTTATCTCACTGTCTGAACCTGTCCTGTTTACATAACATACATAGTTCTGGTCTTGGCTTCCTTGACCGACCGGTTGCATTCTGTCATCCCCCATAGATGTCCAGGAAACCTTCTTGTCTTTTTTTCCCCCTCACCTTTTCCTTGTCTGGCCAGTGGTCCAATACTGGCATCTTGTGTCCAAGATCCCCTGCCCTCTTCCCTGCTCCAGGAATACCTTGGGGCAGTACTGGTCACTGCAGTGCAAAATAGAGAGGGTGAGTGTTAACTGTAGCACTGTCCAAGGAGTGTAATAAAAGTAACCATTTCCGTTTGTTCTCAGTTCACATACCTTCCTATAAGCTGTTAAATTAGAGGAGATAAAATTAGATTTCGTACCTTTTATAAAGATAATAGGGGGAGGATTCCTGGCCAGTGGGAAAGGAAGCGTTTGAGTCCCAGCAAGGGAAGCCAATGTTCTTTAAAAGTGCAGAGGGGAAAGGCTGTTAGGTTTAAACTCATGGGCTTGTATCAGGAGCCTAGCTCTGGGAATGACACATCTGTGAAGTTCTGTGGGAGTGCATTGAAATTTGCATTGCCCCGCATTTGATGGGCAGGCTAGACAACTGCCTTTTGTAAATGAATTGCAGATACAGCTTGACGGCCTGGGGAAAATGAGGGCTAAGATTAATTTATCTCTGAAGAAATCTAGCATGTCTTCGTGTTTGGCAGCAGGTAGGAAGGGTAGTGCAATTACACCTTCAACCTTTGTGACCTGCATTGTACTGTAGTTTGCTATCAAATTACACCTGGCTGCTGTTCATGCATTTAATAGAAATGCAGGGTTGAAATATGATTGTAGGTAGGTAAGAACAACAGGCTAATTAGGTGCCTCAGTCAGGCGTGGGGGCTGAAGGATAGAATATAAAGCAAATGCTTTGCTCATAGTGTTCGGAGTTCTCTTGTGTTTACAATTTGCGCGTTATGGTATGCAGCTTTTTATTGCCGAGGCTGATTCTACAGGGATAAGCACTGGGGAAGATGTTTAGGGTTCTAATGAAAACTTTTGCGCCCACACAAAATGTCATCTATCTACTTAAACTTAAAAACCAACCAATAGTCGGGTAGCACTTAAAAGACTAACAAAACATGTAGACGGGATCATGAGCACTGTTTTCCAGGTTTATTCCCATCTCTCTGTATTTAGGGTTATGTTCATACAGATCTTTTCTTTTTTCCAAACTAAATCTCATTTTATTTTACACCCACATTTTTGGTTTGTCCCCTTGTATTTCCATTGTGATGCAGGTCACAACTTTTTAATTGAGCAACATCAGCAAATTTTATGGTATGTTTACTCTTTTTCTCCTAACATCAATCCCTGTTGTGCCCCACTGAACTCCCTAGCACTAGGGATGTTAGTGAAGTAGAGTACTCAATTATTCGCGCTCTCCCCCTTCCCCCCCCAACACACACTTCTGTATCCGAGGTAGTGGGGGCAGGGTAGGTTAGGCTGTTGGGGCAGCGCAGCCCCTGTCTGTGAGGGTCCCCCTGTAGGTCTGTCTTAAAACGCAGAGCTGTGGCATGGGTGGCTCCCAGAGCCAGCCTGAGCTGGGACTGCTTAGTCCTGGCTATAGGAGCTACCCCCAATGAAGCTCTGCAGGGCAGCCCCTTGTCAACTAATCATGTAGTCGATACAAGCTTTATTGACTACACGATTAGCCAGATAATCGCAATTTAACATCCTTACCTAGCATCCTGGCTTTTTTCACACTTCTGATCAAATGAAAGGAGGATTGAGGGGCTCAGTTACTGAAGTGATGTGAGCGTACAAGTACTGGAATAGATACTAGATTCTGGCCTTTACCATTTTGTGTCTTGTAATCTGTTTTCAATCTACGCAAGTGATACCAACCAGTGTCAATTTATATTTTAATTAAGGTTTTGAGACCCTGTTAAATGCTGTATTAAAATACAAATGTAGGTCATCTGTTTCAGTCCCTTCTTCCACTAATTTTGTAGTTCTGCTCTTTAAAATCAATCTAGTTCTTTTACTGATTAATTTTATTATTTATTTACCTGTTTGGCTAGCAGTTAGCTTGTTACTCTTTTTTTGCTTCCCAGACAGCAGGATCAGGCCTGCATCTCATGGTTCTGTTGCCAGGAAGTGGACCATCTAAGGAATGTACGGGGGGAGGGGAAGTAAAAATAAAGTAACTAATTTTACTTTAGAAAATGAAAATTCTAGCCTTGAAGTTGCCCTTTCTGCTCATTCCCTTTGAGGTATCTGGCATTGTCCGCTGTCAGATGGAATTACTGAGCTGAATGGACTATTGGTCTGACCTAGTATGGCTGGTCTTATAGAAAACTCTTATGAAAAGAATAATTTACAGAAGAACCTTCTGAACAGAGTGGGGAATTTGTCCTAAAGTACTTGACTGTCTCTCCTCACATCTTGGTCTATTAGAGTCCTAGGTATGAGAACCAAGTCATACAAAATCTGAGGAGGTAATATCAGAATGCACCAGTCAGGATCTGGGGGATAGAGTAGGATGCAAGATGAGGAAAGCAGGATCCTCAGAGTTGTGCAAAAAATTAAAAGCATTTAAAGACCTGATAGAAGCAATTATTCCATCAATGTTTTGGTAGGAAAAGAAATAACTTTGCCTGAGGTTTCTTTCATTGCATTAGATCAAAGATAAGTCCTTAGCAGTCTGAGCCATGGCAAAATTGTTTGTGGAGTAGAGAAGGAAAGCTTCCTTTTAACTTTTTTCTTTTTATTGCTTCATGAAGAAATATTTCTCAGGGAGATGCTGAGAAATGTTAGTTCCTTTAATAGTGGTTGGGAAACACTAGATAAACCTTAAGTCTTGAGTATGCCTAAGTGCCGTAGTACCATATCAGCTTTGTCACACTTCCTCCTGCTCACCCACTTGAGTTTCAGGTTTTTATCTCCTTCAGCCAGCATACCCCACTAGTTTCCTCCTGGTTAGGAATAAAAAGCACAAAACTGCCCAGTCACTGTCTTGGTGAGCCATATTGGTGTCCTCAGAAAGAGCAGGAGTTAGAGAACAGTATATGATGAAAAAATCAGCTGTACTGCTTCTGGAGGGTATCTCCTATTGAGAACATTTCTGACCTTAATAAGAAATCACATATGCTCAAGTCTCCTGCTTGTTAGGAACTCTCTCTCCTTTTGGCAGGGTAGATTACATGGGAAAGGGCTTCTCTTGCCTACACTAAAAGGGTTGGCTAACAGGACTGTACCAGAAAACACTTCTATCATTGAAACAGCTTATACCAGCAGTTATTTGAAGGGTGTGCTCAAGGACAGCTGGATCCAGCCCTCCGTTTCCTCAATTGCCATTTCCAGTCAGCCCTGGACCCGTGTCCCTTCAGATTGCTGAGTTTTAGACACTATTTTTTCCAGCTACACCATGAAGTTTTCAGTTGACCACCCATCCCACCCTTCTTCCCTATCTCTTTGCAGGGACCCCTGTCACAAGCAACTCTTCATTCAGAAAGTCAAAAACCTCTTCCACCAGAGGTCAGAGGAAAAGGTTCCTCAGCACATGGAAGGCAGGAGATTCTACTTCCACTCCTTCCTAATTCTAACTGCAAAAGAGGGACTAAGGCACATCCTAGACTGTTGCCTCAACAAGAGACTTATATTTTGCACGGTCTCTCTGACCTTCATCATCCCTGCTCTGGATCCAGGACACTGGTACACTGCCCTTGATTTGAAGGACACCTACTTTCATATCTCTGTTTGTTTTTCCAGAGCACCGGTTATTCCTTCATGTCATGTTGGGTGGGTACCATTTCCAGTTTACGGTGATGTCCTTCAGTGTTGGGCCCTGAGAGTGTTTATAAAGTTCATAGCACCAGAGGTCGCTTACCTGAAACATCGAGGAATCCAGCTATACCCATACCTCCACAATAGCTGGTCAAGGCTGGTCCCCAGTCAGGTGCAGAGGCATCTAAACCTGGTATGTTCTAACTGTCGTGACCTAGGGATGATGATGATGAACAAGTCAACCCTAACCCCAGTACAGTATATAGAATTAATTGCAATAGCCCTTGACTCCTCCCAAGCCAGAGTCTCTCCTCAAAGCACAGTTCTGGGCCATGGCAGATCTCATCTCAAGCCTGTGGGCCCACCTGCTCTCCACTGCCCATAATTTCTGGGACCGTTGGGCTTCATGGCAGCGTGTACTCGCATGGTCCAACACCCACATCTCTGCCTCAGATCTTCCAGATGTGGCTAGTTTCTCCCTACATGCCCAGCTGACTCAGTATACGGTTAGGATTCTGAACAGAATCGTCTCATCCCATAGCTGGTGGAAGGTCCCGCAGCGGTGAAGGAAGGAGTTCCCTTCACGGCCCCAGCCTTGACAGTGAGGCCTGGTATCGGGAGCACATCTGGGCACCTTTGGTACTCAAGTTTGCTGGTCCAGTCATGATCGTGCCCTACGTATCAGTGTTGCGGAGCTCAGGATGGTTCGTCTGGCCTGCTGAGCCTTTCTGCCTTAGATTCAGAACATGGTGGTCCAGTCGACAGTGCAGAGCCAAGTTGTCTGCTGGGAGTCTCTTTGGGCCTGGGGCTTTTTTCTATAGTACAACATGCGTCTAGTAGCTGCTCATCTTCCAAGAATCAAGAGTGCTTTGGCGGATCATTTGAGCAGGACATTCTTGTCTTGCATCAGTGGTCCCTCCATTCAATGGTGGTCAGTTCCCTCTTCGGCAGGTAGGGGACTCCTCAGGTGGACCTGTTAGCATCCAGGCAGAACAGGAAATGCCAGATCTTCCGCTTGATTTGTGGGCATGGACAGAGAAACCCTGTCTCCTCAAGCCTGACCTGTTGTCCCAGACCTGCAGCAGTCCAACCTGGCAGCACTAGATCTAATGGCCTGGTGACTCTGTGACTGAATGGACTGGAGCAGCAGTATTCGGATGAGGTACAGTGTTTTCTCCTGGGGAGTTGGAATCCCTCTGCCATGGAATCCCTCTGCCACGGCTATTTATCTGGCGAAGGGGAAAAAGTTCAACTTCTGGTTTGCAGAGAAGGGTGTCTGTACAGAACAGGCTCCTCTGTAGCTTATTCTTGATAACCTCCTGCACTTCAAGCTCCAGAGATTGTCCTTATCAGTCAAAGTCCATTAGCAGCCATCTTGGCCTTCTATACGCTGTTTGCAGGTAGGTTGATTTTTTCTTATAATATCACAGCCAGATTCCTGAAGAGCCTAGAGCATTTCTT